CAGTCAAACTCTCAGGCCCTAGGTAAGTCGTTTTAAACATAAATAATTACTCATTGATCTCATTACTTATTGAATGTATGAGCTAGGTCTGCTTTGTTATTTTGACCGCCTATTGATTTTATAGTGATTTAAAATAATAGCTTTCATTTGATTTTGCTTCGTTTCGTCAGTCCCTAGACCGTCAGGCCCTAGTCGTAATAGTGACTAGGGCTTGATGCCACATCTAGGGACTGATGATCATACTGTGTGATGCATAGTTTTAATCATCATACTAATGTATTTGTTGTAGAATATGGCGCATATAAAGAAAAAAACATTGTCTAAAGAGGAAATTGCAAAAAAAAGTCTGAACAGGCAAAGAGGCGATTGGAAAAAATTAAAAATGATCCTGTTTTGCTGGCGGAGTACAAAGAAAAGGAACGACTGAAATATCTAAAGAAAAAGGAAAAAGGACAACGGAAGTGTGTAAAAGACATGACTCCCCGTGAGCATAGAAAGGCAAGAAAAAATTGGGTAGCCTATTCATCTGATTATAGAAAAAAACAAAAGATTCGTGACAATACAGATAAATACGTGGACCAAAATACGCCGCCATCATCGGAAGGTGAAATTATTCCTGAGGCTCCTTTATTAGATAATGAAAGAGAAGCTGAAGCTAGAAGGAGGAGTATAGTTCAACGGAGAAAAAGAAATAGTATGTTGAAGAGGAAGGACTTACTAATTGAAAATTTAAAGAAGAAACTTGCCAGCGAACAACAAAGAAACAGAAGACTGAAACATAGAATGATACAAAAGAAGCAAGCACTGACACCAGAAAGTAAAATTGTAGAAATGGCCAACGACCCTAATCAAAAAGCAGAATTGATAAAAAAGCGTTATTTGGCGATATTATTCAAAGGCAAATTTTAGATAAAGAGATTCAGACACCCAAAACAAAAACCTGCTTAAAAACGATTTTGTCAAGTCCACTGACACATAAAGATAAAATATGGAGACTTGGAAACACAGCCATTACATATAAAAAGATGGGATTTAATCGTACAAAATATGAAGCTATGCGAAAAAAAAAGAGAGTTGAAGAAATCATACACAAGTTTTATGAAGATGACAATAATAGTCGTTGTGCGGCAGGAAAAAAAGAGTGCATCACTCGCAGAAAAATTAAAAAACAAAAAAGATATTTGCTGGATTCCTTGAAGAACTTGCATCAAAAATTTCACAATACGAGTTTGATGAAAATTGGGTATAATTATTTTTGCAAATTGCGTCCATTTTGGGTTGTTGTGCCTAAGCTTACAGACCGTGATTCCTGTGCTTGTGTTATTCATGAAAACATCAATTTGAAGTTATGTGCCTTAAAAAATGCAAACGTTCTTGACTTTGCCACATATCAAACTGCACTGGAAACAATTTGCTGTGATCGTTACTCGGAAAAATGCTTAGCGAGAACTTGCCAGGACTGCTCATTGAAGATTTTACCATATAAGGAGTTTGATAATAGTAAGGACATGGCAGCCAAACAATGGAAGCATAGCAAGGAATTGATTAAGGACATTAAAACTAAACAGGATAGATACGTCACAAAGTATAAGAAAGAAATATGCAATTCAAAACCTCGTGATTTAGTTATGCAATTAGAAGAGAGTGATCTTCCAAAATTATTCCAACATGAACAGAACATCGTTCATCAATATAAAACTATTAAATCTTTGAAAGAGTCACTTACAGAAAAGGATGCAGTAATTCACATGGACTTCTCAGAAAACTACACAACTAAATGCAACCAAGAAATTCAGTCGTATCATTTTGGCGGCTCCAGGACTCAAATTTCTTTGCATACAGTGGTGGTTTACACAAAGGATAAAGTAACATCCCATTGCACTGTGTCTTTAAATTTATCTCACAACGCTGGAGCCATTTGGGCACATTTACAGCCTATCTTCTTAGGATTGCCATCCTCTGTAGAAAACCTGCATTTTTTGAGTGACGGTCCTGTAACCCAATATAGAAATAAAACAATGTTTTATATTTTGGGTTGCAGAATCCAAGATTTCTATCCACTGGCTAGAAAATATTTGTGGAATTTCCATGAGGCGGGACATGGGAAAAGGGCACCTGATAGAATTGGAGCTACATGCAAACGCTCTGCAGACCAACTCATAGCTCAGAGAGGTGACATTACGAACTTGTACGACTTTGTAGCTGTGCTTCGAGAAAGGTGTCCAAATATAAATATCTCTGTTATCGAAGATGTCGACATAGAAAAAGTTAACAAAATGATCAAGGAACATGAGAAAGAGCAGAAACCGTTTAAAGGAACTCTCTTGGTGCATCAAGTCTCGGGTCATATTTATAACCCTAATAAACTTGTCTTGAAGTCACTAAGTTGCTTCTGTGATAATGACGGTTGTGACCATTATAGGTTGGGGACTATTACGTACCAAACCAATACACAGCGGCTTCAAGTTTCAGATATTTTCACAGATTCTGAAGATGATATGCCGTTAGCAAGTATGAGCCACATTGCACAAGAAAAGTCAAAAACAAGCTACGGCGGTGGCGATTATGTTCTAGTTAAGTTAATAATGAGGGGAAAAGAATACCGATACGCCGCAGTTTGCTCAAAATATGATGACGAAGATGGAGAACTGACAGTTACATTTCTTAAAGTTTGCAAGAAAGATGGCACAGAATTTAAAATAAATGATAATGATATCGCCGACGTAGCTTACGAAGACGTTATAGAAAAATGCCAGTTCCTAATATAATCGTCAAGAGAAATACAGTCCTTCACAAATTTAAAAAACCCATTAATGTTTACGAGAAGTAAAACAAATAGTGAAACAAATAAATAAGAGGTACTAGATAGTTTAAGTGCGAAATATTTGTGATCTCATAATAATTAATGAATGTCTGAATGTTGTGTTCAAATTATAATTTGTTAACTCAAAACTTTAGAAAGCTGATTATTTAAAATAATTGTTAATTTTTAAAGGACTATTAGTTTGTAAGTATTAAACTCAAAGTATATTTTGATTGTTGAGAAATATTGATAGATTATTTTCAAGTGTATAATTAAAAAAATAAATTCTGTACTGTGATTATAAACCATAGAATTTGTGAACTTAAGAGATTATTTTGTTGTTACGGTTGATTTTGCAATAAAAAATGTGATTTGACAGAATAACCGTGTTTGGTGTCAGTCCCTATCTCTTGTCGTCAGTCCCTAGAACACTGATTTTAAAAAATCATAAATTTCTCTGAAAATATCAAGTAAAGTGACTGGCCCTTTTAGATGCAGCAAAGTAGATGTTATACCTACAGCATAGAATATAAGCTGTTCTGATTTTTAACTAAAAACACCACCTTCAAAAAATTACATCAGAAGTTAAACAAATTTCAGATAACCACCCGTATGCTATGTATACCCTATTTCACGAGAATCCATCACGGTAGAATGACAGCTGGTTATCTGGAAATATTAAAAAAAATCCCCATATCAGCAAAAGACACATAATTCAGACGGATCCGTTAATACCAAGTAGACAGAGCCATATTTTGCTTTGGTTTTTGGTACTCTACAGATTCATTTTGTACTTGCTAAAAGTTTATTTGCATACAAAAAAAACGCTAGGTTCATATCTAAAGCTATTCGTACACCTGAACTCATAACAAACAAGCCTGTCGTGTACGGTACGCGCTGCTCCCCGAAAACTGGGAAACATTTTTTTTTTCGTGACAAGGTGAACAGATGCATTGATGTGCTTTTCAGGGTTCAAAGAACACAACAAGAGCTATGATAATCAGTTATCAAAACGTAGTTACAAACGGTCTTACACCCCAGCTCTAAAGAAATATGTCTGTCGCGAACGGTACGCGCTACTTCTTGAAATCTGGGCTGGGGTGTAATACCGTTTGTAACTACTGTTTGATGACTGATCATAATAGATAATGTTGTGTGCTTTAAACCCTGAAAACATCATCGCACCTCTTCGATTTTTCACGAAAAAAAAAATGTTTTGGGTTTGTTATGAGTTGAGGTGTACGAATAGCTTTAGTTACGAACCGAGCGTTTTGTTCTTATATGCAAATGAACTTTTCTACATAAAAGACCTTTTAGCAAGTATAGAATGAATCTGTAGAGTACCAAAAACCAAAGCAAAATATGGCTCTGTCTACTTGGTATTAACGGATCCGTCTGAATTATGTGTCTTTTGCTGAAGGGAATTTTTTTAATATTTCTAGATAACCAGCTGTCATTCTACAGTGATGGATACTCGTGAAATAGGGTACACATAGCATACATATAATTACCGCGCTCACCTCGTACACTCGTCACGGGCTCTCTATGAGTAACGCTACGGCCTCGGCGTATCGCAGGGCCACAACATTTATTCGGTCCGCTGTAATCTAGCGGCGCGTACGATTGTGAAGTCAGCTTTTAGAGCTACCTTCACACGTAGTAATGTTCTAGCGACCCAATAGGAGTACCTACATCTTTACCGCAAGGCTTTGAGAACAATCAGGGGACTACAGGATAATTCTGTTCATACAAGGCTTGATGCGTTAAAACAGAAAAAAATCGCAGAACCCAAACAAAGAATTGTGCTACCATCAGACTCATACGTTGGACGAGTCGACTGTAATTTCATCATATCCGAATCTGATTCTGTAGCTAACTTCAGGGATGTGGACTATCGATTAGCCATCGCCGTGGTAAAAGAGAAGTCAATATGCCGTGAAGTTTTCTCATTCATTTTCATGCATATTTTGACTACCAGCAATTTCGGTGTTTTCCCAAGCTTGTTTTGCTATTATCGAGAGAAATCAGAAACAATCCAGTGAACTACCGATAATTTGGCAACCTCGCATCAACTAGCTATGCAGGTGGACCGATAGCATCCGACAAAAGCCGACAGGTTCCGAACGGCACACGAACCGGTCTTGGAATAACATTCCTAAAACCCTCCGATATTCCTGGTATAGCATAACGCTATTTGGCGGTGAAAGGATACGAACGGTCTGTAATGTAGTTGCGCACACGAGTGTTCACGTCATATACGTCATACATAACCTCAATTGTCTACGAAAACAATCTGAACTTTTGAGAGTTGTGAAGTATTTTAGAGTGTATGACACGATAAACTAAGAATATATAAATTGTGTTTCCGTACCTGGATTACTTCCGCTCCAAGAACATGGATATAGCAAGCTACTTCTCCAACTCAGGTTAGTATAACCATTAATCTCTGATGAAATTCCAAGTCACATTTTTCTCTTTGCTTTGTTTTGCAGAGATTAGTTATGATATACCTCTCTACAATAATTACGGAAATATTTTTTAATTATAATTTAATTAACTACCTTTAAATTTTTATAAATCCAACTATAAAAGTGTAATAAATACTATAGGTATATCCATTGTCGATTTATATAGATCACACATATTTTGGGAAGACCCGTGTATATCAAATTTTTATTCGTGGACAATTAAAAAACAGTTGAAACATTGTGGCGTATGAAAAAGCGAGTGAGGAACGGATGACTATTAAATTTTTAGATTTTGATTTTTCAATTGTTATGTTTTCATAAGGCAGTCAACCTTTTGAGCTATTTAGTAGATATCATTTTGAAAGTAAAATCTAAAATAAACACTCTAATGGCCCTATTATGTGGTAGATACAAATGTTTTCATTAAAATAATGTATATTTATGATGTATGTGCGGAAAATTAGATAAAATTTCGAACTACACCATATTTTATGAGTATTTATCACGTTTTGACGTCTATTGAGGTGAAGATCTGATCAACAAGAAACATCTTTGTATTTGTGTGTAACCGTTGGCAATAATGAATCGGCAGGGGTATTATGTAAAAAACCTAAAAAATGACAAAAAAACGCCAAAATGTCATCTTGCGGACTAGGTAGTTTTTAGTTTGCTCGCTAAGATCGCTGTTCGCTGACGTTTATGCAACACGTACAGCTACAAAACGATTTCACAACAAGTATACAACACCTTGTGCTAACATCGTGTAGACAAACCTACGTTATATCACAAAAAACCGACAAAATGTCCCTTTTCAAGATACGTAATAGCCGTGTGCCGGTGCAAAACCAGTAAAACTTGCTTGTAGCGTTTTTTTTTTGTAAATGAGCTTTTCTAAATAAAAGTGTTAGCAAGTACAACATGAATCTGAAGCCTACAAAAAACAATATGCGGCTCTGTCTACCTGACGGATCCGTCAGAATCATGTGTCATTTGATGATATGGGGAATTTTTAAATATTACCAATCAGCTGTTTATTCTACTGTAATGGATACTGGTGAAAAAGACAATACACAGCCTCCACACAGTGTTGCCGAACCAAAAAAGACGGAATCGGTAGATTGTGTCATTGTAATTCGGTAGATTGAAGGACAAAATCCGTAGGATGAAAAAATCAGGGCCGTCGCAAAATCAGCAGTAGCAAGGGCCTTTTGCGTCGCGCAGCGCCGTCTATGAAAAAAGCATATGCGCGGACACACAACACAGGTTTGTGGAGAGCATCTATTCCTGAAAAGAAATTAACTTATTTATTAAAACTTGTACAATGAGCATACTGGTTGCTCTTCAAACTCCTTTTTCCATTCTTGTTTATAAGATGTCAATATTTTCTTTTTTACCCCCTGAACTTGAAACCTTATCACCTGACATTTCAATTTAATATTTAATTATGAAAACCAGGCGAGCTCTGGTTTATTTTATGCTTGTCCAGTGGTGGTGTAATGACGGTGATCTACCAGTCTGTACCTCTTCTACGCATAATAACCAATAATGGACTGCCGAGTAAGTTTTAATTATAGGCAACCCAAATCTACATCCCTCGTGACCACGTCTGCCTAAGTGTACGCATATGTATGATTGATATGGGCATAAAACTACATAAACTGCGATATACAATTCATTTTTCAACTTTATTTTGGGTTCTTGGTCTTTTTTGGTAAAAAATCTGGAAATGTCTGAATTATTTTAAGAAATAATGGAAAATGTGGACGTTTTCGGTAGAAATACCGAAAAATCGGTAGGTTCGGATACACTGCCCCCACAACCTCTAATACACTATCGGCCCGCTACCCTCCAGGCGCGACTCAAAGGAGAGGAGGGCATTCTAGGACAAAAAGACAGCTGGTTGCATGGAAACACTTATATGTAAATATAATTCCTTTCTGGACATTTACGGTATAGTTAAATATTTAAACCTAGCGCATTATGACAAAACAGTTTATAGATTCTCGTACATATATATATATATATATATATATATATATTATCACATAATAAATTAGCCCTAAAGAAGCATTTTAGATATTTTGTGGTTCCATATTCCATAATATCATTTACCTAGTAAACGAAGTCAGAAAAACTGCGAATTTCGGGATCATTCCTCAAGGCTCCACAGAGAATGTTTCAACAGTTGTTTTCAAATTTACGTCCACGTAATATACTTTCTTAAAAATACGTTGTAACTCAACGTCATGAAGACACGATTGTATGTATGTACACACCTCACACAAAAATCAAACGGTATTATATTGTTTATAAAGTAATTAAAAAGCACCAGAACCAAAAGCTAAGGGCGTTATTCATTTGTTTCAGGTTTCAGCTTAGCCGCTAAGGTTAATTAAAAAAACCGAATAACATCTGGGTATCAAATTACACAAAATGTAACTCCTAAAACTTGACCTGTTACCACTGTCGCAAATGTCAATAAGGTTACTAATTTCTAATCACTAGTTTGATTTAATCTCAGGGAGCGCCGATCGTTGGCGTAGCGTTTTATGAAAGTGCCGAAACTTTGTACTGATAGAGGGGTAGCAAATTGTGTACACAAAATCATGCTAAATACGAAAATTTAGAGATTGAACAGGACTCTCAAATGCCCCCGTCCAGCTCTTCCAACATAAGAGATTTTTCACGAAATCCCTTAGTGAGCGGTAACAGATGGAATTTTCCCTTCCTCTCGAAGTTTTGACAGTCTCAAGTTCGGGAGTGGTTAGATGACGCATGTTGCGCAAAATGTTTGCTTTAAGCTCCTTGTTAAACTTAGCTGCTAGTACCTCGCCGTTATGCGGTAAACCGTACCACGTGGTTTTTTGACATTTGGATGACGTCACATCCGTCTTCACCTATTCCCGTTCTTTGCGAAAATTTGAGTATTAGTTTCCGGTAGTGCACTGTGTGTGCTACACCGTGGACTCGCGAAAAAATCCTTATACTCGTAATTCGAGTAGTAGAAAAATATATTATTTCATGGTGACATGGACTTTATTTTGGCAAATTTCATTGGTATTGTTGAAAAGTGCCAGATCAATTAACAAATATCAGGTTAAGATTCACGTTATCAAATTGTTATGAATATCAATTTGCCTATTGCAGTTGCACTAACATGCGACTCAAGGCATCAAGCTGAAAGCTATGATTTTTTATAGTAAAATCAATTTTTCTGCCACCCATTACTCGTATTCCCAGGTTTCACCTCCCAGATTACTTGCTTCTCCACTTGAATCCACCAATTGTTGTCTCTTATTTTCAAGCTTTAAAATCCCAGACAAGATAATTCAACAATTAAATCATTTTTACCAAAACAATACAACATTCATATATATCACAAATTGTGAAGTGGAATCGGTAGATATAACATTTAATATTGTAACTATTTCTGCTTTCGTACTTGAGGTAGGCGAGTCTTACCCACTGAACTAACAAAATATGAGACAAACGTTTTTGTTGGTACCAAATAAATTTTACATGCATGTTCTTTTACAGATTTTCTGGACACCAGACTTCTAGCTTAGAACATTACTTGAGCGTCAGCAGTAATCACAAATACGATTTAACTCATTTGAATATGATATTGTGTCACTAGTGAACATTGGGACATGAACTGCTATAATGTTACCAATCAAAAGAAGGCAAAGCTTCTGCCTTGGCTGAAGAAATGTGGAGAGACCAAAACTTCACGGAGCACAATCAGGTGAGCTATATTTTATAGGCATAACACTTTGTTCATACCCATATTATTAATAGAACTCCTCAATGCTAACAAATCGTTCCCGCCTAGTTTGCTGGCTGGTGTTGCATTTGTTTTTCACGCCAAACCTTTTCACTGGGTCACAGCGCGTTCAAAAAGTGCTGCTTTTATGCACCTCTTAGCAGACTAGTTGAACTCTGCTGGGCTGTTTATCCCACCGACGATATATCTATAGATGCTGCCGATCATTTATGATTTTAGATTTGCTTAATTTCTAACCTTGCATAATGAACGGGAGAACAAAGTGGCTGCCGTTGTGGAAAGAATCACATTTGAACTAGTGGCGTATCATAATGAAAATATTACTGCGCTCACAAAAAAATAATGATCGATTATTCAACTTGTGGAATTCGGGTCGGCCATATATTTTTTTTTTTTGAAAATTGGTAAATACAGTTAGGTTATGTATACTTATATAAAGAGGTTCTGTTTTCAAATCATTGACATATGAAATTCTCCCAATGTTTAAGAATCTCTTTGTTCTAGAAAAAATAATTTTCTAATAATTTCCATGTGAGTACCAAATACATATTTCTCTTTTAATATGATTTTGGATACACAGAATTTGTGTTGATTTATTCACAAGAAAAATACAATAAGTACATTGTTTAATTTCATACATCATTTAGCAATATTATAATACAATTTGTATATTGTATTATGGAGCGTGTCCAGATACATATATAATAATAGTAATAATAATAATAAAATGTCTGTCACCTAGCGGGAGATACTGGTTGTGATTTCAACCAGGACTCCTATTCTTGAAAACGGGGGAGCAGAATCACCGAGAGAAAGTGGTTGTGGTTCCCTTCCGTGGGTAATCCTCTCAAATTCTGATGGATGTTGATATTTGTCAAACAAGTTTAGGAATGCATGTATTTTTGGCAAAATAATACGTTCCTGGGCTCTTCATACGTTTCATACAAAGCGTGTCCAAAAGTCTTGTCTTAGGTTTATTTTTGGGGTGAAAAAATTTGAACCTATTTCAGATAAGTTACCTGTAATCGAATGGCTCAATATGGAACCCAGGAGAAATCTGCACTCTGCAGTTTTGTTTCATAAAATTATTCTATATAAAAATCCGCCTTATTTATATGTTGGCCTTATTTATATGTTCGGTCCCAGAAGGTGATTTATTTCCCAACCACGTCATCCTACATCATGTTCAACAGATCTTCTTTTCATTTTATCTATCACTTGTACAATCACAGAAAAATTTCTATTAGATGAATTATAGTGTTTACTTTAAATTGTTCTCTTCCTTTTTATATATATATATTTTTTTTGTTAAATCTGTCTAAAATGATTTGACCTTTATCGTTAGATTATATTTTTTATATACTTTCTTTATATATATGTATATATATATATTTTTTTTTTTTGAAGCTTGTGATTATTAATTTTAATATTGACTTATATAATTTGATTAAGAACTCCTCTGGTTATTTTGTTCCTTTGGGCTATTATTATTATTAAAGATGAGACTGATGATAAGTGTTCAGTTTTCCGAAATGCAATAAACCACCTAAAAACAAATTCACTAACGTTATCAAAATCTACATTATTTATTGACTAGTATACACAAGATGTGTCGATAGAAGAAACTCATCTCATAAATAATGAAAGGAGATTCGGTGTAAGAATTACAAACTCATTACATACATTACATAAATTATTTATCTAAGAGAAGCTCTTTTACTTATTTCCTGTATTAGGAAGGGCGCTGAATAACAAACTTAAAGTTCTTGAATTTGCGTAGGATGGGCAAGGATAAGACAGAGTGTGTGTGTGTATGGCAGTTAAGTATTATTTTTTTGAGCACGAGTACAAGTCTTAATGTAACATCCTCGTTCAGATAGACAGTAGATGTCAAAATTTTCAGTTACAGCCTTGTTTAAAGGCCCTTAAACTTACGGTTCTGCGTTTTCGGCAAAGAACATGGCTTCCTCCAAACAACCGAAGGGTTAGAATCGTCAATGGTGGCACTGGAGAGTGATTGTTTTCTATTGTGTGATGAGAGTTTGAAGTACAAGTATTGTGTGGAAGAAGAAATTGATTACGCAATATACTGCGACGGAAATGTTAAAAGTAGTCAAATATCTGTACAGTGGTCGCCAACAAACTAGTCGATCGCCACGTTTTGATTTTTGATGGACAGTTGAAGCTGTGAATTCGCCACTTGTGTGAAATATCGCCACGCCTGGCAACTCGGCCCGGGTAATGGAACAGCTACCACAGTCTCTCTCTTTTGTCATTCTTCTTACTTCGCCACGTTCGGACGTTGCCAAATTGTGTTCTACATTGATTGTTACGCACCTACACATTTTTCGCATGATTCCTACATCAGTGCCGCTCATATGTGCAGAAAAGATTTTACTCCATTTTGTATAATACCTATGTCTACTGACCGTTGGCAGATTTTTGAAAAGAAGTACTGGGTAGGGATTTAAATTCCCAAAAATGTTTAGCCATTCAAAGGGGGTTCAGCCTGTATGACGACTTTGAACATCCATGATAATACAATTTTTTTTTTGCTTATGGCTGGTAATAATAATTAATGCCCTTGTTGTTGCTTTCGACCTTGCACAGGTAGAAAATTCGGTCTACCTGCGCGGGAGGTTATCAGATGTTCGCTGTGGGCAGTGAGAACAGAAAAATCCTGTACTGGCCGGGTGAATATCTTTGCCGACACAAACAGAGGTGGTTCTGGCAACGCTGCGCTATGGCACCATGACGGACGGGAGTGTTCTGAAAATAGTGGCAAGGCTTTGGATTAAATAAATAATTTGGTACTTATGCTGCGACCATGTTGTGGAGTTAGTTTTCAAGATATATTAAAAATCACCACCAAACCAAACCAAACCAAGGGAATAGGCCACGCAAGTTATTAAACCCTGCATTAAACCATAGCTCCTCCTAAATCCAAGCCACTGCTCTCCAGAACACTGGTATCAGTGATGGCCGCACAACACGGCGTTGTCAAATTTACTAGTCGCTACCGACAGAGGGTAGAGTCGTACCCCTTTTGTTTGTTGTATGAAAATGAACTTTTCTAAATATAAGAGCTTTTAGCAGGTACAAAGTGAATCTGTGTCATACAAAAAATCAAAACAAAATATGGCTCTGCCTACCGGGCATTGATGGATCCGTCAGAATTATGTGTCCTTTTCCGATATGAGGAATTTTGAAATATTACTAGATAATCAGGTGTCATTCTACCGTAATGGATACTCGTGAAAAAGAGTATGTTATTTTTTTACGAATATAAAGGATAATTTTTGTAAACAGGCCAAACTATAAAATTCATTATTTCAGATAATAGTGAAAGTAAAGCTATTTCAATTAGATTTTGCACAATATTAGAAGTGCTTAGGGGTAATTTAAAACTGGTATGAAAATTAAAAGATCTAGGACCGGTCATTTGATTTTGTTAGAATCAACACCCTGTAGATTAATATCGAAAAGTTTAACATTGTACAGAAATAACTAGTCGATTGTACTTCGAAAATTTATTTTTGCTATTTCTTCAATGTTTTTGGTACACAAACTGAGTTTATTTACACTTTACCTCGACACACTATAACTTCCATACTACGTTATTTTTTGCATTTTTGAACGTCATTTAAATTGATATACAAATACAAAAAGTTTTGAATCAATTCCTATTATGTAAATAATCATTGAAATAGGTTTGTTATTGTCTGATCTATTAAATTTTGTAGGTTTGTGTTTCTACAAATCGTATATTTGCAAAAAATGAATTTAGAACTTCTTTATTTTCATTTATGGTAAGGCCTTGGTCCATGCCATTTACCATTTGGCTATGTACATTTAAGGCGAGAACACCCTGTATAGGTTATTTCTCGGGACATTGGTAGGATTGATAGATTTTTTGAAATTATATGATTTTTGTACGTTGGAATCGAGACAAGGAGACTGTGGAGTGCCGATGGACGATAAAACTGAAACCAAACAAAATCTGAGGATTTCTATTGAACTATTTTTCAAACCACTGACGCTCCTAAGATCTATGGCAGTGAAATGGGCAGAATAAATAGCAGAAACGTTTGTGTCTATGAGTGTCTAGGTCATTACCTACCGCATACCACAGAGGTATGCATATTTCTAGAACTTGCAATTAAAAAAAAAACCTAAATCTCGAATGAGCGTTTGAGAAAGGGAGGAGTTCATAAAGTGATTCTTTGGGAGCGCCAGTGATTCAAACGCTATAGTTGAAATGTTTATAACATGTATATTAATTATATGAGGTTTTTGCCATTAATTATGCGAGCTTTTTGCCTTCTCAATGTTACTTGCCACAGCAATAAGGAAGTCTCATTTTCGATATTTTTTGAAGAGTACTTTCAGAGTTTGATGAAATTTTGACATAAGGTAACTGAATATGACTGAGCAAAAAAAAACTCGTATGTTTTCCAAAAATAATTGGAATAGGAAAGCAATCACCATCAGCTTAGGTGAATATGAGAATCCGGTTGTTCCATAAAATTTGGATATTTAGCATGCTTTTGGTTGCAATTCCTATGAGAATTTCGTTTACGCACCTTGGACACACATATACACATACGTGTGTGCCTTTGGCATTTTGAGTCTCAAATTACAGACAAACAGCACAAATCATAGGAGTGAAAAAACAAAATACGAGTACACATGCATTGGTAATAACTGATATTATTAAATATGCAAAAATAAAAGAATCTGGTATTTTATGAAAAATGAAATAGAATAAGAAAGAAAAACGCTCGCCCTAAATAGGATCGCATCACCATTAAAAGGTTACGTGTGGTATGTCTCATTTCTGATAGACGTACGATATCTCTACACCACCGGATTTTATATGTACATATAATTATCACTATCACAGCCAATAAAATGGCCACGTGAAATAAGAGCACTTGTTTTTTCTAACTGCTTCATAATGG